GCTCCGCGGCACTTGTTTTACTATTGTAAGTAAACAAGAGTATTATGTATATGAATTTTACCAATGTTGCTAATTCATCATTGCATTTGCCATTGGTATGAAACTGCTTACTGGCTCCGTAGTCTTTTTGTAAATTTTATCCAGAATCTGTACTTATTTAATATTTTCCATTTTATGCTAAACCGTTATTCTGAGTACATGCAAATATCAGCTTGTATATTCATTGTTCAATTTCATTGAACAGATATATTGTTTTGTTGCTGAGGTATGATTATGTACAGCTAATCATGTTTTCATTTTCTTTGATTTTTCAAAATTACATAAACAGAGACACGAACACAAGAAGCGGGGAAAACATGACGAAAACCGACAACGCCATGAAAATAAGAAGAGAGAGAAAGAAGCTACAGGGAAAGCAGTCCGTAGAGAGCATAATGAAGGGTACGATTAGAATACATACTCCTCTAGCTAGTACTTTTAGTTATCTCAATTTACTTATTTCTGTATGTTCTGGATGTTGCCTTGTCCGTTGCATGGAAGGCTTTCACAGGAAATGTCCCCAAATATGAGTTTAGGTTTAGTAATACAAAATTTTATTATTTTTTGTGCCCAATTATTAAGAGTGTTTTCATAGCCATGCACAGCCTTGTGTCAATGTTGGAAATTAATTTAAAATACAGCCTGGGGTTTTACTCCTCGTCTTATGTTAATCAGTTTGTGTGGGTGTGTATGCAAGGTGCAGAGTGCAAAATCAGCCTTCTCTGTCTGGTAGCCAAGGTTATACGTAATTCTAATTCGTATTTTGTAATCTGGTAGTCCATGATCAATTCTGGTAGTTCAGAATTTTGGTGTTCCATGATTTTTGCCAAAAAGAGTGGAGTACATCTACGTAATAGCATAATCAACAAATATGGCTACGTCCATGTTATTGATGAACATCTGGGATAATTAATACTAGTTATAAGTATATTTGATAATCGGTGGTAGAATTTATTTAAAATGAAGTTGTAACAACTTGCAGGAAAGAGAAATAATTTACATTTTGATTTTATTCATCTGTGTTAGTCAAAAACTGACAATGCTAAATTAAGTTGACACTGACAGTCAGCTAGGTAGTCCACCAGACTAGTTGTTACTCATCCGTGAGTATCCCTGGTAGTTTCGTACTAACGGATTACTGTTAATTTCAAACCCTGTACATGTATTTTGTAGGCATGAACATCAGTCGAGAAGTGATCGCTCTGAGAGCAGAAGGATGAGTAGAAGTAGCCGAAGTAGATCGCCAGTGTCTGTCAGCCAAGCAACAAAGCACATGCCAGGCAACAAGGGAACAGAACAAAATTCGGCTAACATACGGAGGGAAAGGTTTGAACTTGAACGGCCGATCAAGCAGGAACCTGATGACGATGAACCCGGGCAGTCCATAGAAGGTCGCACCAGTAATGGTGTCCGCAGATCGGAAAAAGGAACCAAACAGGCTAGCAGTGACCCGGAGGACAAAGCTAAACCTGACTTTGGTCTTAGTGGTAAGCTAGCAGAGGACACAAATACATTCCGAGGTGTTGTCATTAAGTACAATGAACCGCCAGAAGCAAGGAAGCCCAAGATTCACTGGCGCCTGTATCCATTCAAAGGTGAGCAAGCTTTGCCTCTTCTCCACGTGCATCGGCAGAGTGCATACCTGCTGGGGAGGGACAGGCTCATAGCAGATATCCCCATCGATCACCCCTCGTGCTCAAAGCAGCATGCTGTTCTACAGTTCAGACTCGTTAGCTACCAGCGTGACGACATGTCAACTGGCAGGCGGGTGCGGCCGTATATCATTGACCTCGAGTCTGCCAACGGCACGTACATCAACAACAAGCGCATTGAGGCAAAGGTTTACGTCGAGTTGTTAGAGAAGGACATGCTCAAGTTTGGATACAGCTCGAGAGAGTATATTATGCTTCAGGAGAACTCAAAGGACGATCTCGTTGAGGATGGTGGAGTAGACTAAACGTGGAAGCACTGCTAACTTCCAGCATTGATGTGTAAAAATGTAACATATATCTCGACAAAGTTAGCGGCCAAAAAACTAATTGTGAAATCTCTACTTTTGCCCTGCGGACTTGTGTGGCGTTTGCTGCTGCTTGCTTTTGTAACAAGAAATTGGAGGCTAAAGTAGTTTGTAAGCACTGTGAGTTGCATGCTCGTTCGTATGATCGTGCTTGTTTGCTTGATTCCAAGAGAGAAATGTTGTTTGTTTGGCATTAGGAATTACATCCATAGTCTTTGTGAATGTATAATACCATACAGGGAACAGGTACCCATTTCATTTGTACAATCGCTATATGTTGTGTGTGTGCGCGGCTGTTGTGTCCTGGCGTCCGATGTCCGTCCTGTACCTAGTACACATCACCGCATGTGATGTGTGTGTTAGCCTGAAGGTAAAAATAATGTTTTTTATTATGACTGTTACAGATGGCATGGTTACTCAAACCTCTAGTTTGCTTGCTAGATATCAGCTTTTTATACGGTTCTGTTTAGTCAGTTGGCCAGAATAACACATGGGGTTTCAACCGTTTGTGACGTCAGTTTATACTGTGTAACCTTTTAAAATAGCTTGGCTACGTGGTAACAAAATGCAACAGATTAGAAAATTGAGACTTATACTAGACTTTTTTAATGGCAGTAAAATATGGGAGTTGACTTTTTGTTCTAGATAAATGTGCATTTGGTGTGTACGCACATGTCATGTGTCAAGGGGAAATACACGGGACTTATTCGATTATATCTTACTGGTTCACACTAACTGTTACCAAGACATATCTACTAGCAATAAGTCATTAAAGATTCAGGGCACATATTTTAAAGTTTTAATCTTTCAAGTGAATTGTGGTCAAGTTATGGCTATGGTATTTGTATAGATAATTACAATAGTGTCACTATCCGAAGAAGATTCGATTCCACCAACTAACCTAATGGCTCGATCATTCAAATTAAGAGGCGTTTATATGGTTCTGGCCGATACAAACCAACTATCTTGGGCATAAAATGTGTAATTGATGCATAAGTTCGTATGTATAGAGCTGAGAGTATAATGATCTTTTGACCGTAACTATGTTCGTTGATACGAGATGTGTATAATAAATCAATAGAACTGTTATAAAAGTGAAGATCTGTAATTTCCTTCTGGTTGATTTTGTGGCTGACCCACAATGTATTATCCTCGCTTTGACCATGAAATAACCAAGCTTTCTCCCAAACCTTTCCCGCTGTTTCGCTCAGCTCTCCTAAGCAGCTCAGCTTGTAACTATGTAAACGAGCATTCATCCATCGTAATAGACAGGCCAATAAACTGCTACATGACATATTTTTATATATAACACATTTAATACATGTTGTACAAATAAAATAATACAAAAATGTGCTCTTAGTTCAATTACTTTTACAGCTGATATATATTTATACCAATTATTATACAAATGAACAATGAATCCTTGTGTGGATACACCTGACTGGAGTATTATAGGAATACGCATAATGCATTTAGCACTACGTGTATGCTGTTAAACTTTTCCGTTGACGCAGTAGAAATGCTAATCACATGCAAAATTTCGTTTTGTGTGCAGCGTTTTTCACTTCAGAAATTAATATTTTATAGACCTATTCATTCAACCCAATAACCCCGAACTGCACAATTTACACTCTACAACTCTGGACAGGTGGACAATATTTTGACAATATATTTATCAAAATTCGACCTGTGTACAGCTAGCCAAGATGACAACCTCACTGTCCTTAGGAACCAAAAAACTAGGTTCAGCATGGACATCTTGTGACCCCCTTCAAAACCCACCAGAGGGTCGCCCCACCCCAGTTTGAGAAACACTGTTCTAGCACATTGTGTTCCATATTGGCTCAATGTCCTAAGTGCATTGCATTACATACCTCAAACATTACAATATATGGACAATTAAATATTTCCTAATATTATACATATTTTGCATATATTGTAATGCTAATTGCATATAAACTATGTTCATACACTGCATATAAAGGCTCTCTATTGAGACTGCTATTGATTTAGCTTCGATTCTCTACAATTCTATGTCGTAGATAGCATAGGACTACTGACAGCTGGTGAGGGCCAGGTGATGGGAGCCTTCACATTAACAATTGCAGTCAGTTTCCGCTTGATTTTCAAGAAATGTCTCTTGAATTCAATTCCGTCTCCCTAAAACAATTAAGTCACCAAATGTAATCAAGTGCAGGTAACATTCCAGCAATATCCTATTGTATCATGCAGCATATCGATAAAGTGAAACACAACATCAGTAAATCAGCGCATAGTTTGCCAGGGATCTTCACTCACTATCAGATTTCCTTGGAAACCATATAGAAATCCCAGACAGCATGAATAAGTCTAATATATAAGCCGCGTTCACACGTAGCAAGAAATCCGGTATTTAGCGTTCACACGAGGCAAAATGCGCGGTCCAAGAAATACGGTATCTAAACAGATCCGGTATTTGATGTAAATACGTGGCTTCCCAGACCCCGAATAATTTGCCGTGCTTGAGAAATACAGTATCTCTTGGACCGCGCATTTCCTCGTGTGAACGCTAAATACCGGATTTCTGAAGCCGCTTATTTTATAGACTGGTCCGCCCGCGCTCGACAGTTCCAGTGTAACGCGAGTGGAACTGTCGAGGGCGGACCAGTCTACGTATTTTATCGGCAGTTGGTGCGCATTGCATTGTTTATTTCGCATTGTTTGCTTGATTGTTTAAAGCAGCTCGCAAATACCGTATTTCTGGAGGCGCGAAAATTAATCAGCATGTGAACGCTCGGCCGCGTATTTGTCTCAGATTCGGTATTTCGCAAATACCGTATTTCATAAATACGAGGTCTCGTGTGAACGAGGCTATATAGCCATAGCCCCCCCCCACACACACACACAGACAGGTGGCCAGATTCATGCTTCACACCTGTTAATTTTAAATATTAACAATTTCAATACAAATTCTTATTTATTTTAAGATTCATTATATGTGAATTTTCTGTTAGACCCTTGAGAATGTCATTTAAAATGTTGTTGTTTTTATATTTGATTCAATGTTTTGTTTACACCACTGAATCAAGAATGTATGAGTAGACAGAAATTTATGTGTACTGAAATCTAATTACATGAATTACTCACTTTTGATAGTCGGAAGTCCAACAAAATGTTTGAGTTCATATCAAGCAGATGAGCCTTGAAAACCAAGGGCACATTCCTACGATCTCTTGTTGTTATAGTGACCTGAAAGTCAAAATTACGAACTGAAGTAACTCTTTAGATATACCAGTTCTCCCCAGGCCTTTAAAGCATGTCGAGTCCGACATAACTTCAAAACTGAAGCTAATTTGTGACATCCTCCGACATTGCCTAATCAACATGCCTTAATTCCCAGCTCTGTTTACTTTTGACCATCATAACACAGTTATGCTGTTTTCACAGCTTGATGTATACGTCTCTGAACCGATCGGTTTAACTGTGTATTGGGGCCACTTATGACACAAGTAAATACCTCCAATCGGTACAACCCCCTCCCGGGCCCTCCCCCCATCCATTCGTAAAATGACGTGCCCTTCAAGATTTCTGGTGAGAATCCTGTATACAGTTATTTCCTACAAAATTTAAACGTTTCTTTTACCTCTCCTAATGAATTGTGTTTGTAACTGTAGCCAGGCATGTCCTTCAGCACAGTGGTTAGTCTATCTATCGTCTCATCTGCAGCGGTTGTGACTATGAATCGTGTCATTCTCTTCACGAGTTTTTGTAATAATGTCTGAAAAATACCAATGTAATATGTTCTTAAGTTATATGTAGCTAGTTTTTAATTTGGAAAAATAACACTGGCTATACAGCTACATGATATAAAAAATTTAAATATTATATTAATGCACAATAAAAACAATAAAATATTCCAGTAAAATTACTGTAATAAAGAATCTAAAACGCAATATTACACGTATATAGGTATGATTGTAGAGTTGTTGACGAGTTAGACGAAATAAACGTAATAGGACGTTGTCATCTCTCCCATAGGAGTAACAACTGTATTGGGGCTAGCCTTACACATTCACATACCAAAATTTAACAAAATCGAATGAATTTAGATGGCCATTTTTATTTTTGCCAAAAAGTGGGCGTGGCTCGAAAGTAGGTCGACTGGCGTGCTCCAAAATATGAAGTTCAAATCTTTCCCATAGGAGTAACTGTATTCAATTTGAAACATGTGGGTCAAACGGTTCTTGAGTTATCGTTGACCGTAGGCAGACACTGAAATGCATAGTGAAATTGCCAAAATCTACCTAATTTGCATAATTAAAAAAAAAATTAAAAACCTTTTTGATATGTTTTGGGGCCAGTCCTCATTCATTCACATACTAGAAATGAGCAAAATCCGTTGAACCTGAACTGACTTTTGGCCATTTCCATTTTTGCCAAAAAGTGGACATGGCTCGAAAGGAGGTCGACTGGCGTGCTCCAAAATAAGACGTTCAAACCTCTCCCATAGGAGTAACAACTGCATGCAATTTGAAACATGTGGGTCAAACGGTTCTGGAGTTATCGTTGACCGTAGGCAGACACTGAAATGCATAGTGAAATTGTCAAAATCTACCTAATTTGCATAATTAAAAAAAAAATCAAAACCTGTGTGATATGTTTTGGGGTCAGTCCTCATTCATTCACATACCAGAAATGAGCAAAATCCGTTGAACCTGAACTGACTTATGGCCATTTCCATTTTTACCAAAAAGTGGACGTGGCTCGAATGTAGGTCAACTGGCGTGCTCCAAAATAGGACGTTCAAACCTCTCCCATAGGAGTAACAACTATATGCAATCTGAAACATGTGGGTCAAACGGTTCTCGAGTTATCGTTGACCATAGCCAAATGTTGACGGACGGACGGATGGACGACGGACGACACCCCATGGCAATAGCTCATCTTGACGATGTCAAGGCGAGCTAAAAACGAATATAGCTTGTGCTACAAGGTTAAACCTGTGAGTTGCCTTGGGTGCCATGCATCTGAGTACTGATGAGGATATCATCAGCTTTGTGCACTGGCTGAGAGAAACAGGCACCATGCAGGAGACCCTCCAACACAGGCTTGTGGTCTATGTCTGCACCTGCTGGGAACACACAAAATCTCAATGTATAATAATTGCTTTCTTGCAAGCTTTGCCATTCCAGGACAGAATAACAAGATCCGTACATAGACAAAATATAGTAAATGATTGATTTCCTGTTATAACGTGCTAATTCTTTACACACTATAGTGTAATTCTCCTGCCAGGTAAAGTGTTCACCTGAGAATGCGGTAACCTGTTTACCTGAGCCATGCCAGAGCGGCTGTGAGGCAGACATTCCTGTGGAGTATTCCTTAGTCGGAGATGGGGATAGATTCAAGTTAGAACACTTCCGTTTAGAAGTAGCAATAGTCGACGATAGATTAGATACTGAAAGAACATAAAGTAACACTTAAAAATCGGATGTGATTTATTCATGTTGTGGTAGCTGCTTTAACAGGCTTTGAGTTGCATATAGTGCATTTACTGGAATTACTTGTAATTGTCTGACGAATAACATAAATGAATCGCAATTGCAACATTACACATGCTTTGCATTGGTGTGCTCTATGAATAGGGGTACTAAGATTCAAATGGTGAGAGCTGGTTAAAATTTGCTGATACTCCTGAATTCTGCTTAAAATTGCCCCGAACTTCACATACTATTAAGAGGGTTGGACTCTCTTCTAGTATCTAAGAGAATAAATAAATTTTTAGCCCTTTCATTGGTCAAAATGTCATTAGACGTCTACTCTTTCCAGGTGGTTGGAAAGCACATTTCAAATGAAGTTGTGATGGGCAGAATTCAGTACTTAAAAGGTTTCTCACTTGGGCCAAGAAGCTATGTTCCCAGAAAGATAAGAAATGTTCTCAATTTTCATCAATCATATTGAGCTTTGATCACGACTGTAACCCTACGTGCCAAATGCTAAGATAAAGTCATTGCGATTTCTAGTCAATGCCTAAATCGCCTATTTCCCCTTCTCCTCCTTGACCGTCTCAACTCCTATTTTGACTGTTCTCCAGATTGAATTTTGGAATACTTGCCAAATCTGAATGACATGACTGAAGCCATTTAGCTGATGTGTCACTATCGTAGACAGACACAGGTGCATTCATGCACAGACACCTGTGCTATAAAATTAAGTGCTCCTAGCAGCTATGCTAAAAAGTGAAAGCATTGCTTACCATCCTTGTTGAATTTCTTAGTGAACCACACATGATTTTGTATCTGTTCTATTGATGCTCTCTTTTCAACATTAGGTAGCAGTATCTTCCTTAGCAATGCTGTAGAATACATCAAGACAGTGCAATTAGACAGCAATCACGATTAAACCAATCCATCGTTATCAATAACTAAACTGCAAACAATTACAATTTCTAATTAGATAAAATAGATATAGCTGGCATGTATCCTTTCCAGTTCTGAATCAAATGTTTAGATGCAGCTGGCAATGACTTGCCACGGCAAAATAATTGCCCAGTGAATATAAGGCAATGGTAACATGCCATGGGTCGCATCCAATCATCACTTTGTCTTGTGACTTACATTGAGGGACTATACAATGGAAATGTTAAATTATACTTTGAAATTCACACAACACGAATAGACTTATTAAACTGTCACTTTATAAACATGTAGCCGCTGAAGCTGTATACAGCACTGTACTCAGAATTTGAAAATGATCAAATTGAAATTAAGTTGACCCCTGATTGGAGTCACAAAAACCTTTTCTAGACATGTTCGCCTCATCAGCACACAGCCTAAACAGCTGACATCATTAAACTGTCTGAAGTGAATAAACAGTTGTTGTTATTCATCCTTGAAACTATGTATAAAAGTATAGATAGCGTTCATGCTAACATAATTTCAAAGACTTAGACATGAATACTTCGAAATTTACTATCGAAATATATTTTAGGGTTTTAGATTATTATGGAGAGATCCTTACAGAGAGCTAGGTTGTTTATCTTGGACCATGGTGTTAAGGTAATGTTACATTCTTTCCAGTCATAATACTCTTTGTTGTCATAATGTGGTTGATCCCATGGAAGTTCTGAAACAGAATATTCTACATAAATTATTGAAATATTTTACAGTATTAAGAATGGCTAGTCTTCATGTAACAAGTCCAAAACATTTCAATTAGTATTTTGTACTTGTATCATGGACGACAATTATCGTCTTCCAATGTGCTGCTTTGTAAAAGCATGAAACTTTATAACATTTCGTGATTAGTATCAAAGATTAGCATTATTCTGAACATGACTATAATAACCATTCATGGAAACCGTACCATAATCGAAAAAATAAGTTAATTTTAAATCTCTGTGGTGTATACTGCCACGAAGACCACTTATGGGGCAATTTAGTAAGGAATGCCAGTGCTGTTTCTATGTATAGTATCACATGAAAGCACATAAATGACGACGATGAAGACTATGCTACAAAGATAAGGCCTTTTTTATAAACATGATACACGTACATCAGCTAATATAAAAAATATCACAAGCAATTCTGAAAACTTCACTTTGCGCAGTTCAGAAATGCACATGTGCACATGACTATAAGCCTATTTACATGTGCACGCACACTTACACACGCATGTACACACACACACACACATGTACACATACACACAAGCACATACAGGTACATGCACGCATGCACACACGCACGCATGCACACACGCACACACGCAGATATTTTAAAAAAACTGTTGAAATGTTCCTACCGCCAGCAAGCAGAGCCACCAAGACTACACCGCAACTCCAGATATCTGCTGGTTCAGCTTTGTACTCCTTAGCACTGATTACTTCCGGGGCAACATAAGGTAGCGTTCCACAGCGCTTGTTTAACTGTCGCTCTTTTCCCTGGTAACGAAATACTGTTGCTAGGCCAAAATCTGTGATTTTCAGAGTGTCTGCAAGATAAAGAAAAAGAAGATGTCGACCGAATACTGAATATTCATACACTTGTTATATACGTAAATCCTAACAACAAAAATTTGAAAACTGAAATAGAATTTTCTGAATTCAGAAGCTGGCAAATTTGTCATGCCCATGTTAGCTGTTTTGATTTTCAACACTTTTGTTTGTTTTTTAACAATATTAGTCAGCCCCACACTGAAGTTCTAACAATTACAGAACCATTCTGAACATCACCACTGTCACCACACATGAACCGTAATTATATATTGCATATATAAATTGTGCATTACATATATCATAGGAGATAGTTTACCATCAGTGTCCAGCAAGAGATTCTCTGGCTTTACATCTCTGTGAGTCACACCTAGCTTGTGCAGGTAGGCCATGCCCTCTACTAACTGACGAAAGTAGAGCTGTGCATCAGGTTGAGGCATGCCAATATCTGGCTCTGTAACATAAGCTCGGTTGCTTAACAACTGAAGACCATAAGAGCACCTAAGCTGGCCAATTTTAGATGTATGATCCCAGAAAAGCAGCTATACATTTAATAGCATGGTTAAACATACACTGTCCATGCCTGTGCAAGTACGATCACAATTCTCAGGGAGACACAAGGACTACTGCAGATGCAAAACAGAGAGTCATAAATAAAGCGGGCTGTATTTCCCTGTGGACTCGTGTCAAATTTAAACCCTGCATATTGTACTAAATGAATACCCACTACGGATTTGCTTCAAGACGAATCTTAAAATTTGAAGAAGAAAAAACACGAAAATGATCGAAAATCACAGAAATCTGCTGATTTGGGAAGATTCGCATGTCTGCAATAAAGGACACTTGGTATTTCCATTAAATGGCATTGAAATTCACTGTACAGGTAGGTCCCGTTTTATGACAGGGTTAGGTTCCAGTAAAACAGGCTCGTAAAATAAAAAGTCGTAAAAAAAGACCAAATTATAATGCAATTAAATGCTATAATTCCACCCACAATGCACCACGAAAAAACAAAAGAAGTGCATATTGCATGTTTGGACTCACAGGCGTTGCTGCGATGTGTTATTGAGTTACATTTTTTTTTGTATTTTCAATTTTATAGGTAATTTTGAAAAGGTCGTTAATGTGAAACGTCGTAACATGGATCATCGTCAAACGGAACCTACCTGTATTGAATTTGCATAGTTCCTGCTTTACTATGGTAAGCACATCCACCATCAAGAATATCTTACCGATTCTGTCGAAGAGTTCACCGCCAGCTGCATATTCCAGGAAGATATAATGCAGTTTACCCTCGACTCGGTTGCCGAAAAACTGGATGATGTTCTTATGCTTTAGCAATCTATGTACAGCTATCTATATATGTAGAAAAATCGCATGACATGATGTGGATTCGGTGGCTATAGCTCCATCCTCGTTTAATTAACAATCTTGTTATGAATGGCAAAATTGCATTGCTGAACGTAGAAATGAAATTCCACCGTGGTTACTTTTGCTAGTTCGTATAGACCAATTCTCTATACATGTGTACTCTTGAACATTACTTTGTAAATATCCAGAGGATATATATGTTATACTATATGTATTGAGAAGTTGTAGTAAAAAGCGCCAATGATGTGAATTGTGAGACTGAGAGCTCATGAAAAATAATTTTATAAAATTTTAAAAATTTGGAAAAGCGGGGTCATAACACCCCTAACACACACACGCACGCACGCACGCACGCACGCACAAACACACGCACGCACAAACACACATATGTAACACCGCAAAACCCGTAACTATACATATAACAGACACACCTCTTTACGGATATCATTTTTAGCTGCTGGGTACTTTGACAGATCAATAATCTTCACAGCAACTGCCTCTTGTGTCATTCTGTTAACAACTAGTTTTACTTCACCATAAGCGCCTTCTCCTAGTGTTTGTATGAAGTCCCAGCCTTCCACAAACTCTTCTGCTTCAGTTCCAATCTGTGTCGCCATGTTCAATTCAACTGAAATCAAAAGCCTACAACTAAAGAAATATAGTGACAATGAGAAGAAAAGTGTACACCCAGCTTTAGGTTAATATAATATAGTAAACACAAGTTTTACAGACGCATAGCTAACCCTAGCTCTACCGGTGTAGCCCCTTTGCATCCTACGTAGGAAGGGAAAAACTTGTTTTTAATCTATGCTATAGTATTAGTGCCAGTGCCCGGGGTATTATAATATTAATCGGCACTCTGTTGTGGAGCAAAGAGCTTATACACAGTTATAGCTCTAGAACTATAGCCCTTCCCTCTGCCACCGGTGGCGGAGCGCCTGTGGCAGAGCGAAGGGGTATAGTATAGAGTATATATCGTATATATAGTATAGAGTATAGACTATATATAGTTCTATAGTCCGAGTTTCTTCTGACCAATGGCAATGCCCACACCGATGATTTTCGTGGAGCGATGAAACGGCGATCCTCGGCGGGATCGGAGAAATTCCACGTTTTGTATGGGCAGGTTGCTCTGACCTAACCCAAACGAAATCCACCAAAATCGTCGGTGTGGGCATTGGTCAGAGGAAACTCGGACTAATACTGTAATAGTAATGGCCGTGGCTACGCGTCCGGACATCCATCTCACACAGTGATCTTGCGACACGTACACGCATGATTGCGCAACGGTACGCTCTGCTGATTGCCGAGTGTGTGTGCGTGAGAGAGAGCGAGAGAGAGAGGGAATGTGTATGTGTGTGTGTATGCGTGAGAGAGAGAGAGAGAGAGAGAGAGACAGATATATATATAGAGAGAGAGCTAGGGGTGTGTGTGTGTGTGTGTGTGTGTGTGTGTGTGCGCGCACGTGTGTGTGTGAGAGAGAGAGAGAGCTAGAGCCTGTGTGTGTGACTGCGAGAGAGATAGAGCTGTGCGTGTGTGTGTGAAAGAGAGAGAGAGAGAGCCACAAGAGACGGATGAAAAGGATAGACGCCAGAAGTGCATATATCTGTATATTTTCCGGCAATCAGCAGGCGTCCCGTTGCGCAATCATGCTTGTACGCGCAGTCGCGCGATCACTGTGTAAGTGGATGTCCGATGCGCCAGCCTCGGAGGGCTAGCGCCGCACCGGTTCCGTATGCGTAGCCACTGGCGAATGAGTAATACTAATAGTGTTCTAGACCGGACTTCAGTTAGAGCTTAACACAGTTTATACTCTCATATATAGTTCTACTAGCCGTTTACGCGCCTTTCTTCGCCGCACAGGCGGATAGATATAGAGCTTAGACGATCTGCAGCGCGCGGATATCAGCGCGAGAACGCGCGGCAAACGCGGCGCAGCGCTGACATAAATGGCTTATTCGCTGCCTATATAGAAAAATTTCGCCATGTGCTCCTTGGGTACAGGATGAAAGCATATTAAATCGTCAATTGAGGAGTTCTGCCGCGATGAGCAAGCCTTATCGACTATGCACGCTAGGTCGAGAATAAACTACAAATGCTGGTAATTGCTCGTATTGTGGTCGGCGCGTTTCTTTTCGTACTAGAAAGCGCGAGTTTTGCATGTTCTTCCGTTTCACGCCCTGAATTTATTCTCGTACATATGGCGTGCCATAGATGGCGCGACGAGGCCCTCTTGAGGGATTTCAAAGGTATTTTCAGGCACGAAAGGATCGGCGATTCGCTTAGACTGCTCGCGTGGAAGTTGACGCGCTGCAGGACTAACTATAACTTTAGTGTAGGGCGAAAGATACTTGGCCGAGTTTAGGTCCGTACCAAGTCTACACTGCGAATGCGTGACTGTGCGATTCAAAATTATCGCTAGGGCCATCTTAGTGAACCGGGCCGACGTTGATTGGCTAATCCCGGTTGATTGATGTTTGTTTACTACTGAGATTTCCACTAGATGTTATCTGGAAAGCGCTAGGCTCCGTACGTGGAGGTTTTATCAAGCCTCTTGACGCCCCGCGCGCCCGGGCGACGGCAACGTCATGGGCGAGCACCTGCTGGCGTGGCATGGAGTTTTTAACGTAGCTATCCTACAATACGGCCCCACAACTGAACACAAATTATATATCCACATGTTTTCCGAAGCACGGCGGCGAGCGCGACCATTCCACGCCTCCGCTCCACGCCGCGCTCATAGTGGCGGCCCCGGCGCACGCGTCAAATGGCGCTATATCCAACACAACGCTGCGCTCGGGGCTTTTTGGCCGCCGCGTGACTTTCGTAGTAGTAAATGAGATTTTGTATTTAATTGGTAGCATGTACATTCTTTATTGAAACGCTGCAGAGTGCATGCTTGTGTGGCCTCGGCTGCCGGCAGCATTGATGCATGTATATAAGACTACCTTATTAAACCGCTGGCGGCGGCGACGCGAGAGACGAGAGAAGATGAGAGAGAGATGAGAGACACATGACCGTCTGGGGAGTGCAGAAGAAAGAGAGAAAGAGAGTGGAAGAACGCCAGATAAAGGTACGAAAATACGGCAGGTGACGGTACGACGGCGAGATGTACAAACCGCGGTGTCAATCTATATTGGAACTGCCCCCCTCCAAGGCCGATGTAGGCCGAAGTCCGATGTACGTGCTCCGCGAAAAACTGCGCGATGTTAGGTAGCAGCGCCCGTATACGCATTCGCACAGCCCGCCTTGGCTTCGCGCGCGAATTCGTAATAGCGGGAGCGCATAGATGCTAACATACAAACCCTCGCGTCCGGTGCGCAGGCAGTCCCGGCGGAAGTGTGCGCGGCTTAACCGGCTTTTTTCGACCGGGTCGAAGCGGAACAACGCATCTTAGATGCGCAAAAACGCCATCAGGTTGATAGGCCCGGCTCCTCTTGGATACAATGTCAATAGTGTAACCCAACACGTCAGTGGGATCATCCTACTCTTGTGTTGAGTTACAATCATTGTATACTCTATAACCTATTACTACTACTAGTATTAGTACTCGTACTGATAGTGATAGTAACTACTCTTCACTCACTCACTTAGCCCGACCAGGCTGTGCGACGGATTGTCTATACAGACGGTATTGTAACCCTAGCAATACCGTTTCTTGGAGCTATCACTCACCGAGTCACTCAGTCATTGGCATTGTCATTGTTTTCAACACGCGCGCAGCACGCCACCGCGCAGTATTAAACTTATACTTATAGCAGTAAAACAATACCTACTGCTTAGGACATAGTATAAACTATGAGAAGAAGGCAACATGCCTACTAACTATTTACCTGAAGTAATACTACGTTTAGTGTATTTTTATGATATAAACAACACAAACCACCTACTCAGAACTTTGTGTGAAGCCGGCGGACGCACATTTCTGATGGATCTTTTAGACTGGGGGCCAGCTAGCGCCTTCGTGGCCCAGTGGTTAGGCCTGTGGAGTGTGGGTTAGGCCACATGCGTCCTAAACCAAATTTGGTCCTAAACAGAGGAATTGCTGCCGACCTGTGATTGAGGAGATAAAAATAGACCCCGCCACTGTTTCCATTTTTGGAGGATAAAAATAGAATTCGTGACGTTCGTGACGTTCGTGACTGTCCACTGAAGCTAATAGGGTACGTCTATGTCCCCCAGGGGGCCAGGGCTCAGCCCCAGATTACTGCCGGAACGTACTGCAGGGTCCGGACCCCCCCCTTTTACCACAAAAAAGGAAAAAAAGCATACGCACGCACGCACGCGCGCACACACACGGAGACAATATAAGAGAAGTGCCATAAAAAAATCTTGTTTAGCGCTAGTTTTTCTGAAAGTAAATCTTTAATATATATATATATATGTAAATTCGTTATAAAAACCTAGAAATGGGCAAAGAGGGATCCGCAGCTAGGCGTCCGCGGGTGACCGGATCTGATCAATTTTTGCATTCTAGACATCAAAATTACTGCACAGATGCTCTCAGAATGCACCAATTTTTAAAAAAAATCTTGGGGGAGGTCCCCCAAACGCCCCCTAAGTGGCATTCGGCAGCTTTTTAAAACACCAGAAAAAGTAAGCAGGAAAAAGTGCCCTATTTCTTCCTGGACACCCGCCCCCTCCCCCCCCTTTTCAAAAATCCTGGATCCGCTCCTGGGTTAGGGTTAGGGTTAGGGCTAGGGTTAGGCTCAACTTTGGAGCATTTTTACATTATGATAATTAATAAATTGATATAAGTATTATAGCTCGATATGCAGGAGATATCAAATAATAATGTTACAATCTATTCTTAGCATTTTGAGTTGACAATTAAATGGTATAGTTTTGAACAATGTTTATGTTCAAAACACCACACCGGCAAACCATCGCGAAAATGGCACACACTCGTTTTGTGTCTAGTCAACTTTGATTAACTCGTCCCGCTATATGCAAGCACCTAGAAAAACGATCTTGTGCTTCTTTTAAACTTTCTGTGCTTTTGACTTCAATACCGCACAACTACATAAGAAAAGAAAAATAAGTTCGGCAGCATGCATATTCATAGGCTTACACAAATAACAATTTATCACCAAAGAACCCCACAGTAAAAGTATAATGAAACAAAATTACAAAAATGTAAATGTAAATAATTATATTGTAGACGCGTTATGCGCACGACCGAAGTAGAGGTTCTGAAAGAGACTATAGAGAGAACTAGAAGACAAGACAAGCGTAGCACAAGTAATGTGCTAGCGTTTTACTCAACCTCTAATGCGATACATAAATTCTCCCAGTGCACTATACTGAACAAAAGAGAGCTTGTACTACAACAGTAACCGTATTACAAAATAGGGACTTTTACAAAAGCTCCTGAGGAGGGGCGTCCCCACTATTTATACGTCGTGGCTCGTACCCACGACCGCGCTCCTTCCTCCACGTCACCGGTCTCGTTTTAGCTATTATTAGCGTATTAGCTCGGTAAGTATTATAACTACTGAATTACAACTACCGAATACGGTGGGGTAAGCATTTCCCACTTGGCTCGGTTTCATGATCCGATTCTGGCCCTGGTGTCAGCACAGTCATCCACAGGTTGAGTGGCACTTTCGCGGTCGATATTCTAGAACTGCCTGTCACAACCCGCAAAAATTCGGGGATTCATGGCCGTGGTTTCCGGCTGGCCGGCTCTGTCCCGAGCCACGGCTCACTTTGATCTCAGGCCCGACCGCTGACTTTCCCGTCTCTGTTTTGTACATTCCCCCTGACACCGGTTGCGTTCCCGCATCGCCATCACTTCCCTGGCGTGTGGGATTTGCCCGCTTACAATATATTGTGCATTCTGCGGGCCGGCCGGTGAGCACAAGACGCCTCGATCGCTCCCTCCCTCTCTCTCCCCCTCCCTCTCTCACTCACTTACCACCTCGACCCCCTAGGAGGTGGTGGCGAGCGAAGGGGGAGGGAGGGGAGGAGGGGGAGAGGATGGTGGAAGGAGAGAGGAGAAGAGGTGGCGGAGGAGGAGCGGGGTCGGAGGTGGTAAAAGTGAGTGATGATAGTTG